TAGACGAATGCTTACATAAGTATATAATAATGGAATTTATGCTCAAGGACAAAATTATCAAATGGAGAGAATTACCACAAGGTATATATTATATCAGTGATGTCAAACCAACCAAATACGGTCATCAATTATTTCTTACCAATTACCAAGAAGAGTATATAGTCTGGTCTCCTAGTAAAATGAACGAAGAACTTAGTAAAAATGTTGAATATCACTTCGTTAGAAATAATGGTATACATATTAGTAAAAATAATAGAGAATATTTTCATTACAATTTAGTTTAGTCTCATCATCGGTGGTGAGCTAGAGTCAATTTAACTTATGCCTATAACTATCGTTGAATCGCATCATCATTTTTGCATAAAAAATTCCATCTGTAGTGGTGGTATAGGTATATAAATCTGGCTCCAGTGGAAGTGGTCCGGAACCCCCATTACCTATACTACTTATACCAATCCACTTACACAGTGTTAATCCATCACTAAGATGATCTAATTTAATAGTACGTGGCCCGATGTGTTCTACAATATATATTCAAATATCTGTGCGAATAGGCGGTGGGGTAAAACATCTCACATGACATGCTCATAACAGTTTCGTGCAGTTTCGAAACAATATGTTTCTGCAAGTTTATTTGTTGTTTAACGCAAGACTCAGCAATATTCCAGGTATTTGACGCCAGGTCTGTACATATTGATGTGACTTAAAGCAGACAAGGTGAGCATCAGTGCATGAGTGTTGTGAAAGCCACCTCAACTCTTGGTGTCATTAGAACAACGTATCATGTGACTCATAATGTTAATTGTGCGACAATGTCAAATATTTCCATCAAATAATGAACAATGAATATATTCAACCCCTGTCCATGACGCGATGTATTCTGTTATGTTAAAGCCTAGGTAGAGTCATCATCGATACTTGATCTAATATCGGTACACTGCTTTCACTTACTCTTGTCACATCATGCTTTCTCGTGATAAATACCCTGATTCGGTTACAGATCAAAGCTATAAATAGCCTGCATCAAATGCTTTTTTTCAAAGTATACAAAAGTTAATTTCGTTGATGGAATGTATCCAATGTTGCACTGCCACATAACAAATAAGTCTACATGTTCTTTTGTATTGACAAAGAGGGCTAAAACGGTCTTATTGTCTTTAATAGGGTTAATATTGATGAACCTTGACATTTGAAGGATTCCTTTCCTTTGGGAAACAAAGAAGACACGGATGTTTGATTTTTGAAATGTATCGTACCGAGAATCAATAATACGAGAAATAAAGTTATTGTTGAACTTAAAGTTGTCAAGAACACAAATTCCAAACTTTAGCCACGATGTGCGTCACATTTGACGGTCTTATGCCCGGCCCAAAATAAATTAGACCCATGCTTTGATGACCTTCAATACACTAAGCTCATTGTGTTTGTTAGTTAAGATATGTCTTTGTATGCGAAGTCATTATCAGGGCTAAGGACCATGTATGACAACTAAAGGCAAAAAGGATTATGTATCTTGTTTTCGGACCAATTCGTAAACCCCAAAGCGATTTAATTATTTACCTTCCCTATTTTGTTCATCTGTCTCCATTCGTTATTCCATACACCAAAAACATCTGACTTAAGTTAAGAATGATATCAACCTTATTTTACAACAATTCCTCACATCAATTTATTACATAACGAAGCGCCTAAATTTTCCTGTTGTGGTTTATATGAATCATCTCTCTAAAGTGTACAGATTACGTTCAAATTCACTCCCATCTTCTGAATAATGAGTACATCAATGGCGTGCAAATGTATATTCCTGAATGGTCAACACTGCATAACATGCGATTCGCTTTTGTAATACATATTGATTATATGATAAGCACTTTACACACAAAATAGACTAAATACATCGACATATTTTCTGATTTTCATCAATAACATATCCAACAGTCTGAACAAGGTAGTTTCACAAAGCCTGTCAACTTACTAGTCTTCCGTGCTGTGTTTATTATACATTATTAACTGAATGGGCTTTCGCCAGTAAAATGTTAATGCCATTGGTAATATAAAATATGTAACAGTGTTTCTCGGGCTATGTGTACAACCTGTAATAACCAACTTCATAATGTGATATTAATAGATAAGGCTTTTAAGAAATGCGATATTTTAATCGTAATTACTTGATGTCATGGATACAACGAAGGGTAGATTGTCTGTACAAAGATGTTACACAACAAAAGCCCCGTATAAATAATAAATAGGCATGGGGACCAAATGTTAATTTAAAATAACAGATTTTTTCTGACATATATTTTCGGACCAACTAATACGTAAGTTAACTTACAAATGTATTTACAGTGTTCAAACTGAGTTGGGGTCTTTCGCTATTAATATGAATTACGTACATAATGAATGTGAATGACCAACAAATAAGCATTAACAGATTCAATGTATACGGGTACACCATGAGTTACGTGGCAGTGAGAGAGAGAGCTTTATTTCAGTAAAGGGGCCACCGGCCCATTATATGATATCAATACATGATATCAGAGATTGACAATTTCAGCGCCAATGAGAAAGTTATTACGCTTTTTAAAAGCAAGCAATATATATTTAGCTAAAGCATTAATTATGCATGGGGTTTTAGATGTACCGAGCGTTACAAATTTATCAAAAGTTACATTTGTGTAACAATAGGAAGGTAGAACCTTACGTCTCAAACTGTCATAGTATGGTCCTTGTAAACAAAAATGATATTCAGACTCCACTTCCAGGTCTTACATAAAATGGACATAGTCTCCTAGCTCTAGGTATATTGTACTTCCTTCCATTTTCAGTTAGCAAAGTATGAGCAGAACATCTTAATTTACTCAAAGCAATAGGATAGGCACTTACTGGAATACAATCTAGATAATTTTCAAATACATTATATTGCTTAATACAAGAATTAAAAGAAAGTTTTGTGTAAGTTCTTAAACTGTTAGACCATTGTTGGTTATCTATATCAATACATTTTGTTTTTAGGTTATCAATAAGACCAATATGAGTGAGAATGTTGTAAGTTTATTTGTAATTGTTATCAGAGACAGCAAATGACTAAAACGTGCGTATAATATCGAGTAGTGGCCGGATTGTGAAAGGAAGTGTGATTTAGATTTACCCCAGTTGGTTGTTGACAAAACACGGGGCAGACTTTACTATTCCCGCAGTTTCGAGATGGATCAGGAACTAGAAAGATGGGAATTAGAGGCCTTTTATGATTTACTTGGCAGGTGCGGACAGGGTGCCACTCTGAAAACACCGAATTCCTGTCAGCTTCAAAACTACCCCAGTGTCAAGAAAGGAGCTCGGGCCTCTTTCAAGACTCTTGAAAGTAAAAACTTTTTGACACCCGTGAGTGCTCTGAAACGTGTTGTAGGGCTTGTCGTGTATTTCTGTTGCCACATATTTGACCAGTTGTATTGCCTTTGTTATTGTAAACCCAAAACTGAAAGTTTTAGTATACATTTTTGAGATTGCAAAATTTTACATCATGTTCTATTGTCGCATTCTCAACTTTTACCAAAGAGCACTATGTTAAAGAAAACAAGTTTCTATATAAGCCACATTTCATTTCACTTCACTTCACTTCACCTCACTTCATGAGTGTAAGTTTTGTATGAACATATTGATTGATGCCTGATGCCTGATGTTGACAACATGAAATCACAACATGAAAAATTTCGCAATGATTCAATTGCCACTGTCAGTTTAATACCCATTTAACCATGCAATTTCACTGGCATGACCTATACTTTCTCCCTCCTCTACATTTCCCGTGCTATGTAGTTTGGCAATTACGTCTAGGTTCAATGGGACATAAAGACCCAGCGTTATTTATTGAAATATTTCCTTCACAGGAAAAGTTTCTTTCCTATTCCGCGACTGCGCTGATATGGCTCATCTCTCCTTATTTCCTTATATGCACTGATGTCGCTTGCCACAGTCACAGCCACAGCGGCAGTCCACGGCAGACTAACACTATTAATTCGTATTTATTTTACTGTTGCAACTTGGGTGGGATCTGTGATGATGCACGGGTTTATCTTTATACTTGGCGTGTGTCTGTGTCTTCCGTCGGCACATTTATGCATGCCGTCAGGTAATGTTACTATTAAGTATCATATGTAGTATGCAAACGAGCAATTATTATTAATACCATATTATCTTTCCAGATGGTGACTGCCGTCAGCGTGAAATGAGAGAAACGATATCTGTCAAACTAATATATTTTTGATAATCTTGATAAATCAAACATATATCAGCAGATTAAAAACATAATCTTGTTCTAAGGCTACTTTCCTTCTCTTCCAGATTCGACTTGCACAGAAGGCCAGCAATGTTCACAATGTGGCTCCGATGGCAAGTGCCTAAGTGAGTGTTTTGTTGGATATTATGGCTCACAATGTAAATACAGATGTAGCCAAGGATGCCTAAACAATACGTGTACATTAAACACACAAAGTGGAGTCAGCGAGTGTTCTCATGGATGTCAGTTAGGGTTGTTTGGTCGAAGCTGTAGGGTGCCCTGTATAACCTCTTCACCTGGATGTAAGAGATGTGCATCTGGATGTGTTGGATCTTATTGCGTGCAAAATGACAGCTGCTGGGGAAACTGTGTCGATTCTTACTTTGGTTCCCAGTGTAAATCATGTTCGAAACAATGTGAACTCTGTAACTACACGACAGGAGAATAACAAAGGTGTGCGGCCGGTTACACTGGAGGAAAGTGTGAGCATGTGTGTCACAACTGTTCAGGACATTGTACAACGGCACAATGTACTACATGTTTAACAGGGTATTATGGGCAACTCTGTGGTGACACATGTAGTATACATTGTGATGTGTATTCCAATTCAACCAAAAGTCCTCCCATACAATGTGACAAAACGTCGGGGGAATGTAAATATGGATATAAACGCGGATGGTACGGAGAGAAGTGTAAAGAAACATGCAGCAGAGGATGTTATCACAATGAATGTGACCAGAACGGCGAGTGTAAACATGGCTGTGAACTCGGCTATTATGGCCCGGGGTGCATCCAGTGTCACCAAGGATGTCATGGAACGTGCGACACCATCAACGGTCACTGCGCTGATGGATGCAAGAAGGGATACTACGGTTGGAACTGTAGCTTACACTGTGGATCATGTGTGACGAGTGTGTGTGAACAGCAGACTGGATTGTGTGTAGATGGATGTAATTCCACCTGTGACAATGACTGTGACAAACTGTGCAAGGAGAACTGTTCTACGTCTGACATATGCCAGAAATCCAAGTGGTGCAGTGATGCAATAACTTCCTCAACAACAGAATCAGATCTTGATAAAAAGGGTAAGTATATTTTATGAGACTGTTCCCATATCAACTCTTGGAATGACATTCAGATATTACTGTGAAAATGGACGTGTTATGCAAACGCATTTCCCACATGTAGTTGTAATAATTACTATTCAAATATATATAAGTCGCCATGATGTGATGCCTTTGGTTTTTAAAACTGTGTTTATTTGTTCCGATTTCCATGACAACAAATCGGATTAAGCCTTAAATGAGGGAAGGGTTTATATTCGGAGAACAACTCAAAGACCGTTCAATATTTCTAGGTCAAACTTTTTACAGTTATCGGTCAAGCCATGCACTAACGTTAGGGTTTGATGATAACCCCTGTTTCAAGTGACACTACCTTACAAAGACGACAGCATGTACTATTCAACCAGCAGCACATCAGTTTATGAGTCAGTGTCATTGTCTTTTTAGAAGCCACTCCCCTGGTTTTTGGGGGGGACTGATTGTCAGACTGAACAATTGATGCTTGTTTTATTCAACCTGCCAGGTATGTGATACATGCACCCTTAGAAATTGCCAAACTGCCCAATACTGAACTAAAACTGTTAGTTTCTACCGCTCACACGTAACTAGAACGGATATGACAAAAATGGTAAGTAAAAGTAAGAGACGCTAGCTGATACATTCCTAAACTCAGCTGGACGGTCCTGTAAGTATGTAATAGTGATAACATTTCATGTCAAGACTCTAATAAAATCAATAACAGGTCAACACAGACACCAATCAAATCGCCTTACATGTATCTACAGTCGAACCTCGTTGCGTTGAACTCGAGGGGACCTGGACGAAAGTAAGAGTTATCCAGGATTAGAGACGTCAGGGGAAATTTATGCTTAACGTGGATACTTGGGACTTCAAAAAGAGTTTGAGACAATCGTGAGTGCGGCATATCCAAGTTCAACATAACGAGTTTAACCTAATAACATGTACAGTTCGTTTTATTACCATTATCTGATAGACAACAGATAATGCCTAGATATGTTTCTGTTCTAAAGTATAATAATAGCCCTTGTACCCGTACTCGAATAGTCGAAACGAACCGTGTTCACCAGGTGGTGAAAACGTCTTTTAAAATGCATGTGCGGAGCAAGTTCATAATTTCTCTTTCGACATAATGGAGGATGTGATTAACTATATGTTAGACATTCATCCTGAACGCAGATATAGGTGTAAACAAAATATATATTGCCCTGGCCAGTGAGGATTATATGTCCCAATGTGATACAAATGTAATTGAAAGTGTGGAAACATGATTCATTGTATTATTCATAAGTATTTTTATCTTGTATTCAGTGTCTGTTGAACCTAACTACATATTGGACGTGGGAATCATCCTGGCTGTACTGCTGCTGATTGTTATTATCCTATTGCTGTTGCTCCTTCTGCGTAAAGCACCACAGTTTTGTCCACGGTAGGTATGATTAGACTTTAGAGAGACAACAGCCAATCGATATCGTTCTTTACAGTTGTGGGATAACGTAAGGGAAACAAAAAAGAAGATTGTGTTTAGATACAATAGGAATGTCCAAAAGAAAGACAAGTATGTACATTTATGTACATCTTTGTGTGACATATACATATTTGCATTGCCTTAAAGATATGTTGATTTACGATAATGGACAAACACTCATTTCCGTCCATCTCCAACTTATGTTTAATGCAATATTTCTTTCAATAAAATTATATGATCCGAATTTAAGTAACACAGATTTTCTTGATTAGCTTTACAATGGACACTCAAATAAATAATGATATGAGTTTTCCACATAGATTACCACATTGACATATTGGATCATATTTTATCTCTGATCTGTAGAAAATAATAAGTCAACTGGCTTTATATGTATCTTAATCGAGTATGATAAATATTCCAACTTTCTCACATTATAGGAAAAATATGAAGGTGCAAAACATTGCTCTTTCCCTATGTATGACATAAACTGGGATATAAATGTACAATTTCTTCCTGCTACAGGAATGGTGTTCCATGACCTTACAGTTGATGAAATAAAAGAACATGTTGAGTACTTTAGTCTAGTAGTTAGAATCACAAGATTGTCTGAATTTCGTTAATAATATGATACATGTGAACTTATAGTGGTAGTTATAATGTATTTAAGATAAGCTGGGGTAATATTACTTTGTATTTCGTAGAACAAACATAACTTTTACTTCCTCCTTCGTTCTAATAACGTTTCCCATCCCACTTCATAATACAGATGTTTGTGTTTGGGAGCCCAGAAAGTATTTTGGCAGCTTCTTGTTGAAGAGTTTCTAATTGACTTGATAATTCTACATTACACCCATTTTGTATGTCTCAGACCTACATTTGTTTCTAGGAGAAGATTGTCCAACGGAAACGATCCAGAACACACTGTGGTTGTTGAGGAAATGCGTCATATGGATACACGATATGAACCGCTGCATAGGTACTGGGAAACAAACTATAGTGACATGCACAGAAACATGGCTGTGTCCTCTGGTGTTTCCCAATCCCCTGTACACCTGTGTGAAGGTACACACAACGCATCTGACGTAAATGAAAGGGACACTTCAGATGTTGAACCTGACATCGATGGACCTCGAAACGATAGTGAGAAAGAAGCATATTTATGAACGATATTTGTCCCCTTGTATGCCAGAACCGGTTTCGTAGTATGAGAGTGCATTAAAGCTAAATGTTGTACATATGCACAGGGATATATAAAACATCTTTCTCAACTAAGCAGCCAGCTATAGATGTGGTTCAGTAATTTTGAGAAATCACCTGCTTACAATCTGAAGACGTTCCAACACACGATGTTAGTTAAAGAGATAGCTGAGAATTATGTTCTGATGCATACACACAATTATATAAGCTTAAAATATAATGTATCATATGGCCTTTTTCATAGCATAGCTTCGTTAAATGTCTGCAAATGTAAATACTAATTTCAAGGTTGCCAAAGAACTATTTTCAGCGAATGTTGCTCCAATGACTCCAATGTCACTCCTACTCACTGCCCAACCCGTGCTTGCCGTAAAAGGCGACTATGCTTGTCGTAAAAGGCGACTAACGGGATCGGGTGGTCAGGGTCGCTGACTTGCTTGATGCATGTCGTCGTTTCCCAATTGCGTGGATCGATGCTCATGATATTAATCACTGGATTGTCTGGTCCAGATTCGATTATTTACAGACCGCCGTCATATAGCTGGAATATTGCTGAGCGCGGCGTTAAGCAACAAACTAAACCAAAACCTACTCACTGCCATGTGAATATTATATGCTGAGCCGCAAAGGAAACGTCAGCGTGGATAGATATATAAGAAACCTTATTTGTCCAAACACTGTAAACATACTTTGAGGCATATTAAAAAGATGAAACTTGGCAAAACTGATCATCAAGGTTGAAATTAAAGTGCCAAATGTTCTTAAAGTGAAACACAATACTAGTCTCTGAGAAAATGGCATCACAAATCAGTATCTCGTGTGGCCGCCATGTGCATTGATGACTGCCATTCAACGTCGATACATGGAATGGATGAAGGCCATAGGCACTTGAGCCCACACTCTGAGGAACACCTGATGCAGTTCAGCTGCAGTTGTCGGCCTTGGTCGGACGTCCTTCGGCCGTCTTTGAATCTTGTCCCACAGGTGCTTAATGGGATTTAAATCGGGACTGAGGGCAGGCCACTGCATGGTTCTGATGCCATTCTGCTAGAGAAAGTCTCCTGTTGCTCTCGCAGTGTGGGCACGGGCGTTACCATGCTGAAACTCGTGGTTGCATCGACGTTCCAAATGAGGTATAGCGTGTGGTCTCAAGACTTGATCAATGTACCGAGTTCCTGTGACACCATTGCCTCTCCCTGGACCAATACTCTGGAAGACCACAGGGCCGACTCATCCCAAAAAGCATGATGCACGGTTCCCCACGGCGTCGCTAGACTCTCTCTCTCTCTCTCTCTCTCTCTCTCTCTCTCTCTCTCTCTCTCTCTCTCTGTATATGACCCTATGGTCTGTCGAGCAGTTTCCGTAGCAGTAACAAAGCGTTCTTGAAGATGCTGTCGCACAATCTGTCTGGTAGCGTTCCTGGAGCATGTATATCCTGTATCATGTATCCTTACGTGGACTTGAAATGCATTGGCTACTTGCCGGGCGGTTTGTCGAGCTTGCAATCGTCCAAGGGCTCGGTGTCGCTGATTTCTTGTCAATCTTGGCATGTGGCAGCAATTCAATAACGAATGAATGTTATCCGATCAGGGTGGATTTTTATAGGGCAAGAAATGGGGGAACGCATGTGCATTTCAATTTGCACGGAAGTAACGTGCATCGGGTTACCATGGCCGTTGCCGTGATGTGTTTGGGCGATCAGTTGTATTGTCATCTGCTTTGTTTTTTTATCATCAAATTTCATTTTTCTGGACAAGCTAACGTTAAATTTGAGAAACTTTGACAAAAATTACCCAGATATTTAAATGACAACTTTTCATGCAACGTTACTTTAGGTGACGTTTCTTTTGCGGTTCAGTATAAAATACAATATTTATGTCCGAACAGATAAATACCTCCTCGGACCAAGCAAATGCTAAATGTCAAGAATTGTATTATATCCTAGAAATCATCATTCGGATTCTCTCTCTCTCTCTCTCTCTCTCTCTCTCAATTGCGTGGATCGATGGATTGTCTGGTCCAGACTCGATATCATATAGCTGGAATATTGCTGAGTGCGGCGTTAAACAACAAACACACACACACACACACACACACACACACACACACACACACACACACACACACACAGAGTCATTGTAACATATTGTAATTATTGGATGGCACAAGCTTACAATAACTTATAGAAATGGGGCTTCTATATTTATGTGCTCAGACGAGTCAGATGGAACGTTTATTGATTATGCAAGCTAGACTGGATCGAAAGTAATCTGCCAGATTGTTAGACACCATGATAAATCCGTACACGATTTGTTTTCCGTGATACATTTGCATCTATCTATCACAGTTCGAGGCGTTTCAACAAATGGCATCGGATGAGCGTTCATCCGGTCTTTCATTCTGTAATTATATAATAGTCGAATGTTCTTTGTAACGCAGGCACCTGAATAAAGAACGTTCTCCAACCTATCAGAGTTCTGAGATTATTCTAGCAATGTCCTCGAAGTCTTCTATCTGTGGTCTTTGTGACGCTTGCAAAGATTTCCATCACACACAGTTGTGTAAGTCAGCTTATTGACTCCAGCATCTGATTGGGACAGTGTTAGAAACCGCTGTATTGCCCCCGTTTTAGTTATTCACTTGGCAAGGGATGATTGCAAAGGCTAGTACATTTTCAAGTTTCCGTTCATGAACAACTTATTCGACGAAACAGATTCCACTAGGCGGATAAGGCAAAATGTCGGAGACAATAATACCCTACCTTCTTCTCGCGTCAAACGTGTCCACCTCAAAGAACCTCTTCACACTCATGCACCATGTATTTGTGCACGTGGGGATTCCACACCCGTGTCTCCTGCCGATTACAAGCAAAGGAGTCACTGATGATACCAGGCGAAAAGCTAAACCATGGCCTGCCCAATTGTGTAAAAACCCCAACTCACACTATTTGCATGACAAAAGTAAGTGTGTGTTGTCTGACACCGCACAGCAGTACTTCCGTGGCATGTAAATTAACTAGAACAAACCAAACCAAACATGCATATGTACATTGATCACATATTGTCGTCAACCATTAGATTGTATCTGCATCGGAACCCCACATAAAGCTTTAGATATTTTTTATTTTTTTTATAAAGAACAAAATAATAAATAAATAAAATCTTTGTATCAGTTTGTGAGCACGTATCGGGTCTGTTTCTGTGCATGTTAAATAATTATCAATTTTCTTATGCTTCTCGTGGTTAACAATGACACTACGATGTAACTGGGCTCAGAGTAAAACTGCGTGACTATAGCAACCGTACTTAGACGTGTGTCACACCTTTCCACGATAAGTAAGTTCAGACTAGTCATATTACTGGTTAGGTTGTGATGAGAGTGATCACTTGCAGTCGACCTAAAAAAAAGTTTAATGCTGACATATTTGACAATTACCGAACGACCATAATCAAACATAATCATGAACAGTTCTGTGACTTGTTCATTTGCGATAACATAATTTAGATGAATATTTGCCCTCCGGCCTCATAACAAAACGTACGTGAGAAGGTATATTTTGATAAACATGGCTTGTTTAAAAGAAACTGATATTCCGAAAAACTTTAAGGACTTACTACGCGTAAAATGCCATCAGTCTTGTTATATGTATAAATAAACCGTATTCATTGTAATAAATGTAGTCAAAGATCATGCACATGGGATAGCGCTGAACTCAAAATTAGACGGATCAGTAGAGGTAGCGTAACTGAGGAACTACATTGTCAATCCTTTAACATAACACACCTTGACTTGTGCCACTTCTCTACGGCGCCTGTAGAACATTGTCATAATATAGTGGGCAGAACCTTGGGGTAATGACTGCATTGTCTTTTATTGTTTTCATTTAAGCATTCTGATGTAAATAACTAAATACTGCAATTAAAAGACACAACCGACGTCACGTCAGTCATCAATTACTGTTGCGGTTGTTTGCGAGTGTTTGTGACTTTGTCAGGTCAGCCAAAAGAACAAACTCCGATATTTGAGACGAGTTTCACTACCGATTTGTTTGAGAAATCTTTGTAAGAAAGGCCTTCAACGTTTAATATGATAAATTTATTTAAAAGTAAAATAAGTATCATATTAAAGAACCTTTCTTTATTTTGCTGTCAAATAATCAATAAGTTTAAGTAATATAAAATCTGAAGAAAGTTCTCTTCTGTTTCATATGAAATTAAGAAATGTCGAATGTATCTTCGACTCTTCTAAGTTACAAGCACAGTGGGTTCAGCTGCAAATTGTTATATTTTTAGATGAAGATATCAATGGATGCCGTTCCGTTTTTCACTTGGTCTTCTTATGTTTGCGCCTCCATTGATTACACATGTATGTTCTGATTACAATGTAAGTTAAACTTATCAAACCGCCTCCGTGGTCTGGAGGATGAAAGGGTGTCCCCAACCGCGCCATAACAAAAGACATTCAAATTAAAGATGGTACTTGCTTCTCTGCCTGGCGCTCAGGTTGGTTGGATTGTTGTTTTACGCCGCACTCTGCAATATTCCAGCTATATGACGGCGGCCTGTAAATAATCGAGTCTGGACCAGACAATCCAGTGCTGGATATCATGAGCATCGATCCACGCAATTGGGATCGATGACATGCTTCAACCAAGTCAGCGAGCCTGACCACCCGATCCCGTTAGTCGCCTTTCACGGCAAGCATGCCTGGCGCTCAGCGTGAAGGGGATAAAACAAGGACTGGTTGGCTCTGAGTCATAATACTGTGTGT